CAAACTTTGGAAGAAACTTAAAAGCTCCAAAATGGTGGTAAAAGAAAAATAATATGGTTTTTAAGGCCTTTAAATGTGTGATAGGAAGTGTTAATAGATTTTTGAGAGTCTTATTGAGTTTACTCAATCATACTTGCTAGGAAAATGATTACTCTCTTATTTTAGAGAACACAACTATTCACAAAGGCAGAGAAAATTTTTAAAATATTACAACTCTGTAACCATCAGTTTCTACCACCTTATAGTCCATAATTAATTTGTATCCAACATCTTTGGGCTTAGGTTAAGCTATAGTTGTGTAGAAAATAGCGTTCATTAATTAGTCAAGAATTTCATCAAAATCATCTTATTCTTAATAACATTTCAATAAATGAGGTTTAGTGAACTTGTTAGCCGAATTTAAAGAATTTAAGAGCTTGCATAAAAAGAGAGAAACTTCGAGAACTATGTTAGAAATTAATAATTATTTTGATATAACAATTTAATATTTAAAAATTAAAATCTGAGGGTTACTGTTACAAATTTGAAAAAAATGAAAAAATTATTTTAAAGATACTAAGTAAATCAATAATTGATCGAAAATTTTTATTTCGGATAAAAATAAGTTAGAAACTTTTATTAAATAGAATAAATATGTTAAATTATATGAGTAGAGAAATAAACGCTAATAAATCATAAGAGGAATCAAAATTAGAGTAATAATATTAACAAATAGTAAAAATTCAGATAGAAATATATAATTTTAAGAAAGAGATTTGCACTTCAATAATAATGAACAATAAATTCCACTACAACGACAGATCAAATATTCATTATTAAAAAATAAAGTGTGATCTCCCAAATTAAGTAATGATTTATAATCTACATTATTAACAATTTATAAGTAATTTAATACAAAGGCTTCCAGTTTAAAATGATATATTGAATTCTTAATTGCCTATTTTACAATATTATCATCAATCACAGATCTACTCAGAGTTCGAACTTCTATTTTCCAAAATACACAAGATACCTTTATCGATTTTAAAGGATATAACTTAGAGTTAGAGTAAAAGAAATTCAATATTAAAATAAAAGATAATGGATCAAACTTTTTAAGAGCTGGAAGTTCTAGCAGACATCTTTTATTAAATTAAAGATGTAGATGAAAATATATTTGGTGTCATATTAGAAATATTTCGAAATGAAATAGTTTAAGACTGGATTGGATTTCTTTCCGATTAGAGAAATCAAAAACATTTAGAATAATAAATCATACAAGGAGTGAATTTAAATTAGGTTGAGATTTAATAGAAATTTTCTGCTTTTAGAAATGACATCAAAATAATTAGTGATGTCTTAAAACAATTAAAAGGTCATGACTTTAATAACAAAGACTATTCAAGTGAAGAAAATTATGAATTTACATTAAATCTAATTAATAGCATCAAAGATGATAGATAGATCATATAATTTTTATTGTTTTTAGTTCGCATTACATCTATAGATAACACTTTAATAAAATGTGGGTCTAATTCATTACATATATTAGTTTAAATGAAGGTTGATACAAGAGAAAAAAATTTTGAAAATATTAAGATTTAAAATACTTCTCTTGTAGGTGCTAATTTTGTTCGATGCAATTTAAGTGGATCTGAATTTTAGAATGTTAACATTAGTGGAATGAATTTGAATGGAGCATTATTATTGAATTGTAAATGGAAAAACTTAAAAATCAATGAATTAAATAAATTAAATGGTCAGGCTTGCTCAGTCTGTTTTTCTCCTGATGGAAATATTTTAGCTTCTGGTAGTTATGACCATTCTATCCGCCTATGGGACGTTAAGACAGGATAATAAATAGCTAAATTAGATGGTCATACTAGCATTGTCTATTCAGTGTGTTTCTCTCCTGATGGAAATATGCTAGTATCTGGTAGTCGTGATAAGTCTATTCTTTTATGGGATGTTAAAACTAAGAAAATAATAGCCAAATTGGATGGTCATAGTAGTGATGTATAAGCCGTCTGTTTCTCATGTGATGGAAAAAAATTAGCTTCTGGTAGTAGGGATAAGTCTGTCCGTATATGGGATATCTCAAAAAGATAATTAAAAGTCAAATTGAATGGTCATACTAGTTATATCTAATCACTTTGTTTCTCTCCTGATGGAAATATGTTAGTATCTGGTAGTGGTGATAAGTCTATTCTTTTATGGGATGTTAAAACTAAGAAAATAATAGCCAAATTGGACGGTCATATTAGTGATGTATAAACAGTCTGTTTCTCACCTGATGGAAATACATTAGTATCTGGAAGTCAGGATAAGTCAATTCGCCTCTGGGATGTAAAGACAGGAGAAAAAAAGGCTAAATTAGATGGTCATACTAGCATTGTCTATTCAGTAAGTTTCTCTCCTGATGGAAATACAATAGCTTCTGGTAGTAATGATAAGTCTATCCGTCTTTGGGACGTAAAGACAGGATAATAAAAAGCCAAATTAGATGGCCATACTAGCGCTGTCTATTCAGTATGTTTCTCTCCAGATGGAAATACTTTAGCTTCTGGTAGTGATGATAGCTCTATCCGTCTATGGGATGTAAATACAGGGTAATAAAATGTCAAATTAGATGGTCATACTAGCTCGGTCTATTCCATCTGTTTCTCTTCTGATAGAAATACATTAGCTTCTGGAAGTTAGGATAAGTCTATCCGTCTTTGGGACGTAAAGACAGGATAATAAAAAGCCAAATTAGATGGCCATACTAACGCTGTCTATTCAGTATGTTTCTCTCCTGATGGAAATACATTAGCATCTGGTAGTAATGATAAGTCTATCCGTCTATGGGACGTAAAGACAGAATAATAAAAAGCCAAATTAGATGGTCATACTAGCGCTGTCTATTCAGTCTGTTTCTCTTCTGATGGAAATACTTTAGCTTCTGGTAGTGATGATACCTCTATCCGCCTATGGGATGTCAAAACAAGATAATAAAAAGCCAAATTAAAAGGTCACACTTGCATTGTCAAATCAATCTGTTTCTCTTCTGACGGAAATATATTAGCTTCTGGTAGTAATGATAACTCTATTCGTCTATGGGATGTAAAGACAGGAAAATAAAAAGCCTAATTAGATGGTCATATCCATTTAGTAATTTCAGTTTGTTTCTCTCCTGATGGGAATACATTAGCTTCTGGTGGTTATCATAATTCCATCCGTCTATGGGACGTAAAGACAGGGTAATAAAAAACCTAATTGGATAGTCGTACTAGCACTGCATGGTCTGTTTGTTTCTCTCCTGATGGAGATACATTGGCATCTGGTAGTGATGAAAATTCTATCCGTCTTTGGGATGTAAAAACAGGATTATAAAAAGCCTAATTAGATGGTCATACTAGCACTGTCTATTCAGTCTGTTTCTCTTCTGATGGAAATACATTAGCTTCTGGTAGTAATGATTACTCAATTCGTCTATGGGATGTAAAGACAGGAAAATAAATTTAAGCCACAGATACAAATTATAAAGATATTTTTCCATAAATTACAACCTCATTATATAAAAATAATCACTTTTTGGGTATTAAATTTTTCATTATGATTTAGTCTCTAATTATTCAATTCTTGTTGTATCTTAATAAATAATATTGGAAGCATAAGGAGCGAATATCTTGTAAAGTGAATTGATAAATTATTAGAGGTATGATTTAAGACAATTATTTAAATCTAAAGGAAGTCGATTTTTGGAAATTATATAGCAACAATGAATTTGATTATTATCAAGAACATTAGAATAAAAATAATTTTGTAATATTTAAGCAAGATATTCATAATGAGACTGTTAATTTCTTACATAATATATGATATAAATTAAATGCACTTTAAATTATCATATAAAATTTAAAGTAGGTTGAAGCGAAGCTATTATTGATTTTAATGCATTCTTTATTACAAAATAAAAATTCATGGAATTATATCTCCATCAAAGATATTTTCACTTATCTCCTTTAATTTTAAGCTAATTAATTAAGCAATATTTTAGGGTTCATATCAATACAGGACTAATTAAAGAAGAATAAAAAATAAGACCAATTTTAATTGTTATTGTTTTCATATATTCATCTAGCTTGTTCTCTTCCTTTATTTTCAAATTTTTCCATTTACAAATAAATAATATAGTTCCATTCAAATTCATACTCAAATTAGGATCCTCTTAAGTTGCATCTAATAAATTTGGCTCCCATCAAGGAATTATTCTTAATTCTAAATTTTGAAAAAATTTAGTTTCTAAGTTTTACTTTCAATTTAATTAATAAATTTAACGAATTTGATCCGCATTAAATTAAAGTATTAAATATGGCTGTCAGAAGGAGTAAAATATTTTTCAAATGGAATGAACCTCATATCTTATGTATTTATTATATTATTTTTTATTGTTTTTCTAAGTGAATTTCTTCAATATAATCATTTTTATTAAAATTACGATTTTATATTTTTTTGTTTCTGTATTTATTTTCAAGTTTTAATTAACTTAATCAGTATTCTCATTTTGTTCCTTTGGATCACCCATTTTTTTTTTTAATAAAGAGAATCATCCTTATATTTCTTTAAGAATATATCAGATCTTAAATCTATAAATTATATTCTAATTAAATTATTTTTCCTCTAATTTTAAGTTGTAAACTGCTATTCAACAAGAGTGTCTTTTATATTTTTGTTAAATAAACGTTCAAACTGTAGAAATTTGGAATTGATTTTAATTGACGTGAAATATGATATTGAGAAATCATTATATAATATTATAGAATAACTATTTTAATGTTAATAATGTAAATTATATATAATTACTTAATTTTAGTGATCAGGTCTTAATTTTTAATAAAATCTATTTGATCCGTGTTGAAATTGCTAATTCTTAAAATTAAAAATAGAAAAATTTCTCAAAAAATGCTCAATCTTTAAATATATTCTTTTCAAATTAATTTTTTTATTTCTGTTAAGGAAAGCACTTAATTTAATAAATTAGAACTATGAATGAAATTGATTTTGGAAGATATTTATTCAGTAATTTTAAAGATAAAAGAATCAAGTAGTTAATCCATGTATAAAAAAAATATCATTAACATTGTTGTCTTTATATAGAAGTAAATCTTTTCAATAAAAACGAAATAAATGATAAGATGTAAATGAATATAATTTATGAAGAAAACTATATAATTAGTTTAGTATAGTTAAAAATATCAGATATACCACTATCTTTATTGATATTAGATGATTCTAAGGCAAAAATTAGGAAAGAATTTTCTATTCTTCGTCTAATTGCTTTTCAGCTTATAGTCATCGTATTGTTCTAAGTTTGCTCATTCTTTGAGAAATAAAATTTTAAGAAGGAAGGTTTAATGTTAATGCTATTTAATAATTTTTATGGCTTCAGAGATTTAATTCAATTTTCCTAATTTATAAAATATTTTGAGAAAAATAAAGTATTAAAATTGCTAAATGAAATTTAAAATACAACCTTTTTTTTCGACATAGGCATAAACATAATTTGGATCAAATAGAATCGCTTTATCATAGCAGATTATAGATTATCCATGATATCTCAAATAATATAAGGTTTTCAAAAGTACACTCTACATAGATATAAAATAAAATTTATGATATAACTCAATTTTTCTAGCTATCTCATCCTGACAATTCTTATAATCAAGTCATAAATTGATTTTTCTACAATTTGACTAATTTTCTATTTTTTTGCATCTTCCATTATCTGCCAACATTTTGGATTGAATGAATGATGAGTGAAGGTTGTTTCATCTGAAAAGAGAAGTTTATTTTATTCTTTCTTAAAAGATAATAATTTTAAGAAATAAACTTATTTTTTTACTTAATGATGTAATTGAAAATATCAATTACCCCTTAATCCAGCGGGACGGTAAATCATATTATTTTCTTTTGAGAATTTGTAAAAGGATGAATTCAAAATGGTATTATCATCTAAATAAAATAACTTTAAAATGATTTGAAAATTATTTCAGTGTTCCAAAATTAGGTAATATCTGATTCCTTTATGAATTATTTTAACCAATCAGAATTGACTTAAGAAAAAAAAAATTGAGATTTAATCTCTTAGTATATTATATTATATTTAACTTTTTGATAAACCAGTTATTTGAGAGATGTAGGAATTTAAATACTCATTTTACAAAGTTTCCTAGTGATTTATGAATGTTTTTATTCACGAATTTTTAGTAACGATAATCTTATTTTTCTTTATATTTTTATTATTCAATCTAACTTTCTTTTATTTCTTCCAAATAAATTTCTGCTTCCTCTAAATCTAATTCCTTTTTAAAAGTAATATTTTTTATTTGGGAGGTATAAGTTGCAATTAATTATTGGCAAACCCCTTGCACTTGTTATAATGCAAAATTAATGAATCAATTAAAATAGGTATTTTTAGTTGTAAAATAGAATATCAAATAAATTATCACTTTTAGAGGGTTTGGGTTTGGGTTGGGTTTGGG